TGGCTTCCGGTGAAAATGAGTGGAAATTAACCCGTTTCCACCGAATGTCACTTGAAGTTTTTGCCGGATTTTAACCCGAAAATGGCTCCGGTAAAACGTCCACCGAAATCTGTTAACTGAAAGTGGCGGCCGGTAATATTTTCACCAAAAAACTGGTAAACTACGCTGGTTTCTGGTGAAAATGAGTGGAAAGTAACACGTTTCCACCGAATGTCACTGGAAGTTTGTGCCGGATCTTTCAATAGGGCAACGTGAATGAGACCCAACAAACGTAACCTCAGGAGTACCAGAGGGATCCGTCCTTGGTCCGCTGCTTTGTCTTATTTTCAATGACGACCTTCTATTAGACATTCTTGTAAAATATGTGTATTTGAAAATGACTGTGTCATCTACAGCACCATATAATAGAAAACAGGTAATCTCAACCTTCAAAGTGATCTCACAAGCATTGACAACTGGTGCGAAAAATGGCTGTTGTCGCTTCAGAAATCGAAGTACAAACTAATCCAATGCAACAATAAAATCTATTTCCTTACCTGTCCATATACTATTGAAAAGCACGTGATTAAAGCTGTTAGAGTGTATAAATCCAGAGCTAAGGCTAACGCCTAACCTTTTATGGAAACCTCACATCGAAGCCATGGCCTCAGAAGCCTCTCGCATGCTCGGAATCATCAGACATAATCCAAGAAACGCGCAAGCTCATGTCGGAAAGATGGCTTACGAAACCTACGAAACACCTAAATTAGAATATGCTTCCGCCATCTGAAGCCCCCACAGTCAACCAATAACCAAGCCACCCGATTCGTCTTATCATCCTATGACTGCTACACTAGTAAGCCTTCTCTAAAAAGTCAACTTGGAGTTGCACCCCTTTAAGCGCGGAGCAAGCTTTCTCGCCAATGACTTCTTCATAAAATTTACTAGCATTGCCCAGAGCTAAAAAGCGCCCTCCTCTCACTCCTTTGCAGAATATAATTCAGCATGAGTAACTCCGGTCTAATTATTTAAATATCCGTTAAAACTATTGGATTCAACGAATCATCCATTCCTCATGCAATCGCTGAATGGAACTTGCTGCCATCCTCCATCGTTAGCCTCACTGATGCAGCGGAGCATCATAAGTCTTATACATGCCCCTTTTAATTGAGTACATGTGTACCTTCTGGTGTGTTTATTTTTGTAAATTTTCTTGTTGTTTCTTTGCGACTAATGTATTATTCGGCACCATTGCCCCCCCCCCCCCTCCCCCACTCCCCTTATTTAATGTCCTAACCGGACTTTTGAGGGTGGATATAAATTTATTAAATAAAACGAGATTGTCCGACTGATAAGGGGTCCCAAGTGGTCCTTTCGCTGTGAAACTAGCAGAAAGAAGCGGCGCCTGCACTTAAAGAGCTCAAACATTCACTGAATATGTGCCGAGTAGGGCAGTTTTACCATGTAAAATTTTAGGGCGCAGTTTTCTTTCAGTAAAAATCTAGAGCAAGGACTTGCCAAAGTTCGTTGCTCTCAATTTTGCAAATACTGAAGCTATTTATAGGAATGCCGCGAACTTTTTTTGAACCGAAGTTTCGATGATCGAATCAAGCAATTTGAAAGGTTCGAAAGATTTCGAATTTTCGAATTTTCTATATCGTAAAATTCGACAGAAGTCGAATTTTCGACCTTGTTAAGCTAAGAAGTTCAACGCTTTTCGAACCGTCGAACATATTACGCTAAAAACTTCGATCCTTTTCGAACTTTCGAACTTATCACGCTGCGAAATTCGATGCTTGTCGAACTTCCGAACTTGACTGACCAAAAAAATTCGAAGATTTTCGAACTTGTGATTTTCTATCCCTACTATGCCAAGGAATCGATAATTTCCAAACTATCGAACTTATTTATAAAGAGAAATCGAAAAGTTTCGACATTTCGAATTTCGAAAACTCAGAAGGTCGACGAACTTCGAACTTTTAGGGTAAAAGTTCGTCGTTCGTCGAACTTCGAAACACCGGCGGATGAATTCATTTGAATTCAAGTAGTAAGGTACATTCGTAATTTTGTTTTCTCGAACTTTTACATGCGGCGCTGCATTCTTTAAGAAAAACAATGCCGTTTATTTCAATGCTCTGGCATGCTTAGCTTTAAAGAAATAAATTCCCAAAGGGGCGAGGAAGGACGACGGGTTTTTGACGATTATCGTTTGTGCCATATTTCAAGCGCGCTGTAGCCGAAGCTATTTATGGTAGAGATGCTAAAGTTTTTTAAGAATGATCTATGTATAGCCTAGGTAAGTGTCCTCTTAAGATGTGATTATTGTTATTCAAGGTGAGTTTCGAAGAAATGTCCAAACATGCAATTATGCCCTAAACGTGGTAATTTTTTTCGCCTATATTGTTTGAGGTATGGCATTTAAATAAATACTACAGCCAGTACATATCATTGCCGTGTGTAGAATACAAAATGATGTATTTATTGTTTTTTCGTGTTAAGTAATAAATTAACTCATGGGAGAAGATTTCTAATATTGTTCAAGTTCAGCACGTCATTAAAAGAAATTTTTTTTTTTTTTGCTTCACGTTCCTTGGACGTGTTTCTTTTAGCCTGTACAGATTTTGGCAGGAGAAACTTGTTTTGAAGTTCTGAACCTCTGAATATGCAAGAATACAACACTTCCGCCAAATTCTTGATAGTTTTTTTTTTCCACCTTCTTATCCCTGCATTTATTAATATATTTTTTTATTGGCACAGCTATTTACGTCTAAGATACATAGCTTTGAACTTGCGAACCACTAAGCGCGTGACGAGTAGTGCCTTCTGACACCGAGTTTCTAACAATGACCATCTACGCGATCTTTTATGCAGTGAAGAGCGACGGTAGCTATACATACGCGTAAATAATTTCAGATTAAAATAAGCTCGGCCACGCCCTCTTTCCCCGTATTGTTTTCTTTAACAGTCCGAAATATCTGTAAGAGAAGGAAAGGGGGCTGAAGCCACCCTCCCCCCTTCTCCCCCCCCCCCCCCGCCCCCCCCCCGTTTTTTCCTTCTCCGACGCCACTTGTATGGTAGAACGCTCCTCGAACTCGAGTTGTGTCGGCTTCTGTGCTTTTTGCGAGGCGATTTCTCCCTCCCAGAAAATAAACCCCCAGGACAATTACAAACTTACTATATGCCGGCGTCAGTCGGGCGGCGTTTGATTGGATTACTGCCAGCGTGCAAGGGGTGGGGAGGTAGTTTGCCAAATCGCTTCAAAGTTTTTCTGAGCCTCTACCTTTTTCCCGCCCCTGGCCATTTCGAACTGGATGAGTATCGTAAAACAGTGTGTTCGCGTGGTCAGTACTGCGTGATGCACGCTAAAGACCTCCCTCCCCCCCCCCCCCCCCCCGGGCTGGCGGTCACAATTACTGATCTATGGTCACACGTCACTCTGCACTGGTAAATATTCCAGCACATCCGGGACGCTCGTCGTCTCATTTAATTGCCTCACCAACTTCGCAGTCTAGATAACACACCCTAACTTTTCTAAACTTGATTTCGTGAAAACCAGCGAGTCGTGAAAACGTTATTTGAAACTAAAACTGTGGAGGAACTTGAAAACCGGACTTCGAACTTTGAAAACTTGGACTTGAAAGAAATTCAAAATCTTCAGTTTTTTTTCCGAATTTAGCGTTAAAAGAGAATCGAAACCTTCGAACTTTTCGAACTTTATGCAGAGATAAGTTCGAAATCTTCGAATTGTTCGAATTTCATGTTTATAAAAATTCGAATCGTTCGAAGTTTTCGAATTTTATTTGCAAAAGATTTCGAAATTTCGACCTTTTCATACTTCAGATCCCAAGAAATTCAAATTTTTCGGATATCTCGAATTTCAAGTTGGAAAAGTTCGAAATCTTCGAACTGATCAAACCTCAAGTGAAAAAATATTCGAAATAATCGAACCCGAAATTTTAGAAACCGTGAAAGCTTCGAACTTTTCGATTTCGAGACTCCACTGGTATCGAAAGATGCGAATTTTTTTATTTCGAACCGCGGTCGGTACGAAAATATCGAAATTTTTCGAAATCGAACCTTAGTTCGCTTCCCAAATGTCGAAACCTTTTGATATCGAACCTAGGGTGGTTCGCGACATCCCTAGCTTATAATTAATGCAATTCAATGCAAAGGTGCAAGAGAGCTATTTTCGTCATCCCTAGCTATTTACTTGTGGCGCCATCTCCCAATAGACGCAGCGAGGGGACGACGCACACTGTTTATGTCTGCTCGCTTTGCTTATCGGGAGATGGCGCCACAAGGTATAGTGTCACTAACTCGGTCGTTCGCGAATACGGCCAAGCTTGACTTAGGCAAGTTTATTACTCCATTTTTTTTTAAGGGAAGAGAACTGGTGCCTTGAAATTTCACACGGTAAAATTGACCTGCTCATTGCACATTCAGCTGAAGTTGGAGTTTCAAAGTCACTGACGGCTCAAGAAACGTAGAACGTGGCGAGTCTTGAGCGCCTCATTATCACTCAGAGCCAATGAGGTTCCGTCATTTTCCGATGAGAACACCAAAGACCAATGACAAAGCAAGAAAGGCGATTACAATAGGCCATTTCCTGCGTTTCTCACGAAGCCAGTGTCTCTATGATCCACTTCGTGATCTCGAAAGAGATAAAATTGCTTCCCTATCATCTCTTCTTGGAATGAAAGCCTTGTCAGTTTTTGCTGTCGACTTTTCGCAGAAAGATATATCTTCAGAAAAAAAAGAAAAGAAAAGAAAAACAATGAGAGCGGCAAGACAGTATTTTTGATAGAGAAGATAGGGCATCAATCTGATGCTTACTCGGTGTACTAATCAAGTGTCGGTTCTACCTGGAATCGCACAGAGAACAGGGATCGCCACCAACAGAGGTAGAGTTTCCTCCAGTTATACTTGAAGGTCAGTTTTTTTGTTGCACCTTAAGCGCACTGAAGTAGTGGCGCAGTTTACGAACATTGCTTGATACAAATTTTAGCTCATCGACAGTCAACATGCTCACACACTGCTGTCTTGATCGCTTCGAAATGACAGTGCGGACAGGTTCGAGGGTGTTGTCCGTCTTGAATACGGTACCCTATTGGAAAAACGTACAAGAAACAAACCTGCCGCTTTTACAATTCTGGTATGACACCAACATAATTTCTTGGTATTATGTATGCAGCTAGTTTGGTTTGGCGTTCTGCATAACTGGAGATACCGGCACCGCTATGGCTCCGGGTCGGTCTATACTGGCAGCCAGTTTGCTTGCCGATATGATTCCGTGTGGCTGGTATGATTTTGCGTCCGATGACGTAGGCGACCGCCTTCTTTCCAACAAAACGCTTACACCACAGGACCACCGGTATAACTAAATCATACATGCAGAAAGACGACCGCCATCTTCCACCAAAAACGTCCATCGTTCACCACCGGTATCGTACATACACCATGTATGTCGAAAAAGAACATAAGCCGCGTTTACATGAATGCGACTTAGTCGCACTGAATCCAGTTGCCGCATTCAATATATGATCATGTAAACGGCATAATGCGCAAAGCGCATCGCATTTTGGAACGGGAAGGATAATCGCAAGGCGCTCGCTGCAGGAGCGAGTGAACAGCTGAGAACATGGCGGCGGCCAACCTCGTCAGCGGCGCGGAGAGCGGTCCCGCAATTTTTTTTCCCGAGAACAAACGCAAGCTTTTGTTGCGATCATAAGTAAGCGGAATATAGCGGAGCTGCTCGGTGAGGGCGGCCCCGTCCAAACCTTTGCGAAATACGACTTGCGCGTCCGAAGGGGTCACAATGGCTTCAGTGCAAGCACGAATGACACCCGAGAGCTCCGAGCACTGTAGAGCACTGCATGGTAGCGCAGAACGAGCAGCTCCTACTTCGGTGCCGTTCCTGGCTGCGCAAGAGCCTCTCGGACTCGGGGTCCGGTTGGTCCTGTCGCGATCGGCGAGGTCTGGCGCGGCGAAACGCGGAGGCTTCCTCAAAGCGTGGGCACACACGTCGCCTCTCGTTCAGAGTGAACCGGCGGCCCGGCCTGGAGTCCTAAACGCCTTGGTTTTGATGCTTCTTCCGTCTCGCAACTTCTTCCACAGCACCGAAGACAGCGGACACGATCTTTACTTTCACTGAATGCGTCGAAAGGACTCCACGTGCGATGCACCGGAAAACGTGGTGCGGCTGGTGCCGGAACGGACTGCGGAACTTCGAGCTTTGAGTTAACGTGCACGGCAAGAAACCGATCGTAACACCAAGCCGCGGATACCGCATCGCCGGTCGACAGCGGCAAACGGCCCGTTGCTCGTACTCGGCAAACTCGGCGTCTTTTCGTGGCCCCTCGCGTCCTCGCAACCAGCCACAAACTCACCAGCCCGCAACCGTAGCGACCGTAGCTGGCGTTGGAGAAAACCGAAACCGAAACCGAAACTTAAGGCTTCCGCCCAGTGGCTTCGGTGCTTCCGCTGCCGCGGCTTTTCTAAGTTCGCGGCTTCCACTTCCGGTCGTCGCGGAGATGGCGAACAATGGCGAAGATAGCGCGATGTGGTTCGTTGGCTCGTTTACGGTTACGGGACAGATGTTTTGCGGTCCGTTTCTGCTGCGTCTCTGGTTCTAAACTCGACGGCGCCTCTCATAGTTCAACCAGGTGTGGTCGGCCTGGGTCAGCGCGGTCGGCTCGCCTCGTCCGATCTCCGGACCGCCGCCGACTTCCGAGTTCTTTAGGCCTGGGATCCGAAGGCGTCTGTCTCCGTGAAACGGTAAGCGAATCTCGTCCCGTTTTCGTTCTACTTTTAAATTACGTTTGGTGCGCTACTGTGTAAGCATGCGTGCCAAGTGTTCGTGACAATTTTGAACTAGAATAATTGTGCTTCATTGCGGTTTGTCATTTACCGCAAATGTAAATCGAGCAATGAACGAGGAGTAAATCGAGCAATGAACGAGGAGCCATGCTTGAAAACGATGTATGTACGATGTTAACTTCTACCTGTGCGGCTTTAAAGAAAGTCAAGACTGGTTACGGTTGGATGCAAGGCTGGTCCCAATGCAATGTTAAGCACTTAGAGCGCCTTTCTGAACGGCATGTAAGCAATATAGCGATCAACGAGACGAGACGAGCGACGGCGAGAAGCTACGAGTGCCGGCGCCGAGCGACGAAGATTTCTCACTCCCGCTGCTTGCGCCGCTCGGTTCTTGGGCTTCTAGAAAACGTCGCTCATCGCCTTGGTCGCTCGCACCAATCGCTTTCCTAATGTGTGTGTCGTCGCGCGGCCGTGTTTATTCGAATATAAGTCGACCTTTTTTTTTCTTTTTTTTTTTTTCGGAAATTGTGACTAAAGAATTTCGACACCTGTATTCGCGACCAAATTTTGCGACCCTACCGGAGGCGTGAAGCTATCGAGTCACCGAGCCGGCGTTGCCGTAGAGCCGCGCCGCTTCTCGTTTCAAAAAGCTTTTGGTAACCGAAATGGCTCGCCGCCCGCGGTGGCCCGTGCCGCTCCTCGGGCGTCGGATGTCGACATCGCGCCTCTAGCGTTCCCCTTGCTGGGCAACGGGGAAGGAGAGGAACGCGATGCGCCACGCACTTTACCCTCCATCCTTGCAAACGCGCACGCAAAAAAAAAAAAAAAAAAAAAAAAAGTTACTTTTGTTAGTTGCCTGAGGCGGCTCGGCTCGCGTGTTGCTCATGGCGACACGGCGGCTTTGCTTGCGTCTTTGTAGTTTGTCTTCCGTCGCTTCGCACCTTCTTTCGTTTCCTGTCGTCATTTTACAACGGTGTCAGTGAAGTATTGCTGCGAATACGCGAGGATGTCTACCCAGCTGAAGAAGCTTCGGACGACGATGACATGTCCAGAAGTTCTGACGGTGATGAAGTTTTTGGCATCGCCCCGTGATTTAGCTGAGAGTGATGTAAATAAAGGTTTGTTTCTTTCTTTTGCCCAAAATTTCCCCTGTTCTTAAAAATAAAAAAAAAGTCGACCTATATTTGAATTACTTTTTTTTTTATTCTCTATGGACCCAGTAAATAGGGTTCGACCTATTTTCGAGTAAATACGGTAACTTTAATTTTTATTTTGGTTTACGTCGGACGCAACTCGAATGCTTGACAGTTACGTTGGGCGTAACTTTAATTTTTATTTCGGGTTCCGTCGGACGTAACGTTAGACACTCCGTTACACTTAAGGAAAATAGGGGCTGCTGGTTCATCATATAAACCAACCATTTGTGTTTAATTAAAATGCATCACTGGCCTCAAAAAAAAATGATACTGCTATCCTAGAGTTTATGCTATAGGAATGTAGCGCTTCAGATAAATTTGTTAATTTTTACTTTTAGTCCCTGCCCCCTCCAGATACCACATCTGGCCTAAAGCAGTGTTCCGGATCTCCTTCCAAGACCTCAGGCGGGTCGTCATTCAATCCATGAGTCGGCGGCGTCTCATGGGCGTGTTGCTGTTGCTTACTGGATGGTGCTACCGAGGGAAAAGTGGTCATGCTTGGGAAAGCCAAGTATGGCCGCCGTAAGTATACATATTGTCTTTACCTTTGCTGGAATCCACTTTTAAGAAATGCACAGTTCGCATGTGTGCATCTCTCAATGTTTCCACAGTCGGCTGTGTGTTTTTTTTTTTTGAGTGCTCCAACTCTGCTAGTGCTAGTTTCTCTAGATCATGCAAATGGGATGCAACACTAAACCACATATGCTCTCGCAACAAGCAGTGCTGTGCAGAAGCACAGTGGAATTTACTCTAGCTTTATAATGCAGCACAAAATAGTTGACTCCAAGTATAGCTACTTTTGTGACTCCGTTTAACCAAAAGCTCTGCCGAAACAAACTTGCCGCCTTATAGGTAGTGCAAAAGAACCTCGCGTGCCTAACCTGGAGAAGGGCATTTTTTTTATAGGTCAATTTTTTCTTAAACCAATACCTTCAGCCTCCTTGAAATGTTAACATCATGCGACACACGGAAGAACAGTAAACTCTTTAATGTTGGCGAACCTTTAATTTTCGCGGCCTTTAATTTTGCAGAATTCAGTGGCTGCGATTATGTGCTCTGTGACCGATTCGAGAAGAAATAGGGGCCACGAAGATAAGGGGGTTTTACTGTACATCGGAGGAAAGAGGAAGTCACTTTTGTTTGTATGCAAGAGTAAAACCAACAACAACAATCATGGTGTCGACACTTTGTGAGCCTATCTGTGTCTATTGAATGATATCAATTTTGTTTTAGTTCGTTAAACATTGTTGCCTGTACACTGTGGGATGTCGTCTTCAACACGAGCAGTGGTTTTCCCTGAAGTAGGCAGCATGGACGCGTGCCGCAGCGCAACATAGTTCATTTGCAGGTGGTACCGCAGGTTGAAGGATGGTTGGCACAATATGGGGGAATCACAATTCAATGTTCTACCTCGGGCGTAGACAAGATTTGCTCATTCTAAATCATTTTGTCTAAAAATCGGGGATTTGCGATGAATGTACCCGCATGGTTGGAAGGGCCAGACGAGCCTTGTGAGCGCTTTGTTTTCTAGCGTCTCAGTCCTGAACCCACTCACGCACCACATGTGTAGATGTTCCAATACATGGGACCACTTATTTGGAAAATGGTGAATGGCAACTGTTATCTTTATCAGACTTCTGTATTATGGTCAAAGCTGGACTGCATATTTGCAATACTTTTTCTCACTTAAAAATATGTCATACTAAAATATGTAGAATAGCCGATGACAAAAAGAGAATGGCTGGGCGTCCTCCAGCACGTGCTTGTGCTTTTTACCCCACTTTGGACAGATGTGCTCGCTCCAGGCTCATGAGGCACTGAAACTTCATCGAAGGTAGCAGACGGGCTGGTGGTGGAACAATGGAGACTTCTCCCTGCCTTCCTCATGCTGTCAGTGAGCGTGTACCTCTATACTCTAACTTAGCTTAACCTGCACAGAGCTGAGGAGAATAGGCTTGGCGAGTGCCCTTACTGCATATGAATTTGTACAGCTGAGGCACTTTCTGAATCAAGAACATTGTGTATCTTACCTTCAAAAACACATCATTTTGGGGGTGCAAGAGGAATTGTAAGGCATATCTTTGTTT